CAGCCCAGGGCTCTTCTCTGTTCTTCCATTGCAGCAGCTGTCTGCCTCTCGTGCCTTCACTTCCACCCCCATCACTGCTGCTTCTGCCCAGGCTCTAAGTTTCCTAACACTCCTGTCCAGCTGCTCTATCTATACATTTGCCACACTAGAGAATTCACTCCAAAGATTTCTGCCCTGAGGCTGTGCCCTTGGTGATTTTGTAGTGCCATAGTGTCTTTCGCCATATGTTTTCCCAGGGAAATGTCCCTGTAGCATTTTTCCTTCTGACTTGTCAGTGCCCTTCTGATGATAGTACATGGTCCCTTTCCATCACTGCTGTTTGAACTCTGCCCCGGCAGGATGGGCCTCCTGCTGTGTTCCCTGGCCCATTATCAGCTAGATCAGCTAGATTTGAAACCTTGAATCTACCTCTCAGAAGTTGGTCCTGTTACTTCTCTGTTGGAAGTCAGGCAGCATTTTTACAGAATCTTGGTGTCTTCTATCCTTTCTCTTTCTCACAGAATCTTAAGTCAAAAGTTGTTTTCAGTTTATCTCATTTCTCCCTAAGTGTTTGAGTCTAGCAAAACCCAAGCAGTGAATTTCTTATCTAGAGTGTTCTACCCACTGATCGCTATTGAGCTTTCCTACTGTTTAAAAGTAAACCTGGTAAATCATAAAAAATAAATATTCATTACTTCTTGATCCTTAGATTTGTGGTATTGTCACTAAGGTTTTCTTCTAGCTAAATTTAAGAAAGTGCCATCTTACCTGTAAGTGGTTCTCATCCTGGCTCTATGTTCGAATCACTAAGGGATTCATAGAAAGTGCTGTTGCTTAGGCCTCATCTCAAGATTTTGGTTTAACTGGTCTAGGGTGAGGTGCATGTGTTAGTCTTGAAAAACTGTATAAACTATGACATAATGTGGAACCAGAGTTGAGAGCCCTTCCTCACAGAGGAAAGCCCCTATTCTGTTCTTCTGTTGAACCTCTTTTCTGGATCTGTGAAATGCAAGGCATGATTGAAGCATGGTTACTAGCATGTTTATCTCACAGCCCTGACTGAGGAACATGACAGAGAGGGCCTTGAAGGATCTACAACGTTTATACTGCCCCTACCAGAGGCCTACACTGAAACTCTGTTTATTCCCAGATTCATTAGTTCATTCAAACCGACAGGTCCTCTGCTAAGTGCTGTGAGAACAGTTTGAGAAGGGCTTCATCCTTAGGGAGCTCATAATTGATGAGTATTTTCTGACCCTAGAAATGAATTCCTATCCTCTGTTTGTTCCACATGCAGAGCCACCTTCTGATACACAGCTGGGCCTACTCACCTCGCTTTGCCTGCACTAACAATCTTAGCCTGTTGAAATTGACCAGATGTCATTCTTGGCTCAGAGAAGAAGGACCAGGACCTTGATTTCTTGTCTACAAATCAAACTAGGTTACTGAGAAATATTAGCAGCACTGGTAGCTCCAAATCCATATGTCTTCCCTCTTAGTGAACCTAATGGGAACATGAATCTAGAATCTAGAACTTGGCTTTCTGGTGAAGGGTGAACTAAGACTCAGGACAACTCTGGGTGACCCGTACCTGACTACTTTCTTCTGAGCCCACATATTGATCTTTGTCACTCTAAAAGGAAGAAGTGAGAAGTTTTTGAAGAAATTCAATCAAGGAAGAGAGCTTGTCACCTTCCCCAAAGCCTGGAGCAATGGCAATAGGCAGAGCCCTCTCCTTTTTCTCATTTCCTGAGTTCCCTAGTCAGCTAAGTCACAGGGGTACTTCCCAAGCAGAAAGTGAAATCTAACCCTACCAACTGCACGAGGCAGGAAGAGATGAGAGACCAAGAACAGTTGAAAAAGATAACCCAAGTAGAAAAACAATCAAAGCATTGATCTATGAATTAATTATTTTTATAATTTCCCACCACTGCTTTCTCTGGATGACAGAGTCTCACTAAATATCCTTGAGGTAAGGCAGAGGAACCCCACCCTTATCTCTTTGATTGCCTTGGTGGCTCTTCCTAAAGCTCAGGATGTGTGTGATCAGGGACTGATTCTTTACCAAACTTAGTGTTCATTTTCAGCAAGGAGTATCCTCCTTCAAAGTAGTCAGCTTGGAGGAGTCAACTCTTCATTCTGTGAGATTGGCCATTTTTCAAACACATTTTCTGCATCCATTCAGAACCGCATGGGACTTCTTTTTTTTTTTAAATCACTGTAGTCATAGCAAGTATTCAGTTTTTCTTCAGAGCAGATTTGATTTTTTTATACAATAAGAAAGCATTCAGAATGAAATTTGTTGAATAAGGCCTGTGTTGAGGTTGTAAGTTTAATATGAAGATACTTTCCATGATGAAGTTCAGAAATGCCTTGAGTAAAAGCAGCATCCATTCATTCCACAATTAATAGTGAGCATATACTCTGATAGGCACCGGACAAGCAGCAAGACTGACATCTCACCCAAGTTGTCAATAGTAAACAAGTAATAAAAAATAGCAAACAAGTTGCCAAATAAATATGATTTCTGGAAATAAATGTTATCAAGAAACATGGAGAAGGTAGGAAAGGTGGCAGTGGGGCTGGTGCAGAGGGGGTCATTAAGGAAAGTTTCTCTGAAAAGAGGGTATTTGGGTAAGAGACCAAATGTGATCTGAAGCACAAAGCCATGTCACTTGTGTGTTCTGGGCAGTGGCAGCAATCAATAGAAAGTCTTCAAGCTTGGAAAGTTTCAGGGCCATCGAGAGCAGTGGATGCTAGCGGGAATGTAAACTTGTCCAACCACTATATGGAGTGGTTGGACTCCACTTGTGTGGAGGCTCCTCAAATTACTAAAAATGGAGCTACTATATGATCGAGCAATTCCACTCCTAGGAATCTACCCAAAGGACACAAAAATATTAATTTGACAGGAAACCTGTACTATGTTTACTGCAGCACTATTTACAATAGCTAAGATATGGAAACAACCAAAAAGCCCCAAAACAGATGAATAAATTCAGAAGATGTGATATTTATATACAGTAGAACACTATTCAGCAATCAAAAATGATAAACTCATGCCATTTGCAGCAACCTGGATGGAGCTACAAGGGATTATGATCAGTGAAATAAGTCAGAAGAAAAAAAATTGGGTAGTTTCACTAATAGGAGGAATATAGGGAAACTAAACAAAGGGTCAAAAAAAGGTAAAACTTGCAGATAAACTGTATGTCGGGTGGGTGAGGGAGGGGAGTCAAAGCAGAAGAGGGAAGAGCACAAGGGACTATAGTGACTATTCATGGGTGATGTGGTGCTGGGAGATTTATGGGGACTACACCTGAGTGGAAGAAACAAATATTATACAAAAATGAAAGCAATGTAATAAAATAAAGTTTATTAAAAAAGAGTGGAGGGCCTCCCCTGGTGGTGTAGTGGTTGAACGTTGGGCTGCGATGCTGCCCGCAGCCTCTGCAGTGCCGGTTCGATCCCCGGCCACCGGGTGAGTGTCCCACATGGCACACAGACCTCTCCTGCCATGCCCACTGCTCTCCTCAGCAGTGTATTTTGTTGGTCTGTCTGTCCTGTTCCCTGCTCTGGCTCTGGTGAATTCTCTCACCCTCCCGCACTTCTGACTGTACCCAGTGCTTGTACAAATAAATAAATCTTAAAAAAAAAAAAACCAAAGTGGAGTGGAGAGAGTGTAGTAGATGAGTGGGTAAATATAAGAAATGAAATTGGAGCTGATATAGGCCCTGAGCCCTGATTCTAAGGATGATGGGAAGTACCAGAGGTGTGAACCTTTCTGGAGTCACTGCTTTGCTTTCTAGGGTCACTATTTTGTTTGTTTATTTATTTATTTATTTTTTTATTAAATAATAAATTTTATTTTTATATTCCCCCATACAACTGCACTTGCCCCATTCTGACCCCAATCCCTCCCCTCCCGGCCCCCACCCCCCAAAAAGTGTCTCTGGTTCATAGTTTTTTGTTGATTTTGATTTTCACTTTCTTATAGTTATTCATTTTCCTGATCCCTTATTTAAGTTTTCTAGATTCCTGCTATGAGTGAGACCATCCGGTATTTTTCTTTTTCTTTTTGGCTTATTTCGCTGAGCATGATCCCTTCCAGCGCCATCCATGTTGCTGCAAATTGCATGTGTTTATCTTTTTTGAATGCTGAGTAATATTCCATGGTATATATGTACCACATCTTCTTGATCCAGTCATCTGTTTTTGGGCATTTGGGCTGTTTCCAAAGCTTAGCTATTGTGAATAGTGCTGCTATAAACATAGGGGTGCAGGTGTTCTTTGGAATTGATGTTTCTGTGTCCTTTGGGTAAATACCTAGGAGTGGAATTGCTGGATCCTATGGAAGCTCTATGTTTAGTAGGTCCAGAAATCTCCACACAGCTCTCCATAGTAGTTGGACCAGTTTGCATTCCCACCAACAGTGCAGGAGAGTTCCTTTTTCTCCACAACCTCGCCAACATTTGTTGTTGTTAGTTTTTTTGATACAAATTCCATTTATGTTTATGACTTAAGGCTCTTGTTAGTGTTACGGTGGGTGTGGATGGGGTTGCAGAGTAAACACATATTCTTGAAGCTGTGCAGAATATTGTTGCAGGAAAATTTAAGGATGCTTTGCCACTGTTGCCTGAGCAATGGTGTAGGACACTGCAGGCAGGTCAAGAGAGGAGCCACACTTATTTTTTAATTAGTTCTCTAGTAGTAGTTGTATTTATATCATGTGCATTTTTCAGAAGGCTCTTTATTATTTGCCATATACATATATGTATGTTAGATTTTATTTTTACTGAAGCAATGTAGCTGTTGTGCTGATAAAAACACAAAGGGCTTTATACCAATTTCTCCTCTGAGATAATTTGATAAATGTTTAGCAGCTGCTTGGCATTTGGGTTTCTATGAAATGTGAACATTAACACCTAAGTGCTTTCAACAAGTAAAATGTGCTTCTGTTTTCATAGATAACACTTTTTTTTTTTCCTATTTCAAATTGTGTCATTTGCTCCTTTCCCCAGGCGACAGAAACAGATACCAAAATCAGAGTGTGCACCCGGGCCTACCATCTACTTGTGAAAAAAGTGGGCTTTAATCCAAATGACATCATTTTTGACCCTAATATTCTCACCATTGGAACTGGGATGGAAGAGCACAGCCTGTATGCTGCTAATTTTATCCATGCAACAAAAGTCATTAAAGTAAGTCTGGGGTATTGTCCATGTTCTCGTTAAAATACTACTCAAGTTTATCACATGATTCCAGTGACTATTTCTAGCTAACATTATATTTGTTGACATTTTTATTCTTAGGTAGTAAGAACATTGGGTTTCAGGGTCTTTCTTATTTTTCTTTTATATATTGTTTTAAACTGAGGTGTAACACATACAATAGAGAATGTACAAAAAGTAACGTATAATAAATAATTATGAAGCATGTAATAGCTTTCCCTCATGCCCCCATGTCTCTCCCTTCCTAATTACATCTTCATTCTGAATTTTATGAAGTAGCCATCATTCTCAGTTTTATGATTCCTCTTTGTTGCTTTTCTTTATAATTTTAATACTTACATATATATAGTGAATCCAAATTATCCCTGGGTTTTATATTTGCAAACTCAGCTGCTCACTAAAATTTATCTGGAATCTCCAAAATCAATGCTCATAGTGCTCATGCAGTCAGTCACAGACATACCCATATGCAGAGCAGTGAAAAATTTGAATGGCCCGACCCTCATTAAGGGTTAATGTTCCCACATTAAGTCAACAAAGAGATGTTCTGCTTTCTTGTTATAGCTTGTTCTATATACAAGTGCCCTTTGCTTGGTCTATTTAGTGTCATATTGTTCACATTCTTAAAACTTGTTCTTGGTGGTTTCTCTGTTTAATGACCCCCAGACATAGTCTTGAAATGTTCCCTAGTGTTCCTCAGTGCAAGAAGGTTGTGGTGTGCCTTATGGAGAAAATGCTTATATTAGATAAATTTCATTGAGGCATGGGCTACAATGCTGTGAAGTCAATGCCTGTAAATCGATATGTACACCTGTATTTAAAGGTGTCTTTAAATGAAAACACACATACAACCAGGTTATATCTTGATTATGTGATGACAGTGTTGTGACCAGAGGGTCATAGGAACTGAACCCTGTGTTTCCTCTGGGAGCACTGAATTTTCAGGATTATCTGATCCAGTATTTCCAGTGACTTTATGGAAAATACCTACCACAAGTAATAAGAATGGACTGAATAAACAAAATAGTTGAGTATTACATGTTTTTAAGTTTAACATAAGTAGAATCTTATTTTTTAATTTTTATTTATTTATTTGTTTGTTTGTTTATTTATTTATTTATACAAGCACTGAGTACAGTCAGAAGCACGGGAGGGCAGAGCAGGCAGAAGGACCGAAGTACACTGCTGAGGGGAACAGCAGGTGGCAGGAGAGGTCTGTGCACCATGCGGGACCCTCCTCTGGTGGCCGGGGAGCAGCCGGGGATCGAACCGGCACTGTGGCGGCTGCGGGCAGCTTCGCAACCCAGTGCTCAACCGGTGCGCCACCGGGGAGGCCCTGTTAGTTCTTGATATTGTCACAAAGTGTGGTGGGAGCTTCAACTGCCTTTTATCCTTTTATAACTGGCCAACTTTATAGTGAATTAGGTACTTTGTTCATTTAGGCTATGGAAGACTTCTAGTAGCTTGTACTTTTCAATGAATAGCAGATCTCTCTCTCTCTCTCTCTCTCTCTCTTGCTGTCTTTCTTTTTCTGTCATTTGTCCAGAAGTTGTTTTCTGGCACATTTACTTTATGTTGTGCTCTGTCATGGTTACTATAGAGGTATACAATGATAAAGCAAAATTAAAAAAAAATTCTTTTAGTAAGCTTAGAGTCTAGTAGCAAAAATTATTTTTTCCCATAATTTTTAATTGTTTATTTATCAAGAGAAACTATTCCTTAGCTCAGATTTCATCTTTCATAGTTCAGGAACACAAATCAGGTGACATACTTCCATGAAAGTCAAGCCAAAGAAATCCTTTATATTTTAATATAACTTTCTGAAAGATAACATCCTCCCTTATCTGCTCAACATCTTTCATGGAATCATAATTTCTGTAGAAGTCTGCACATGCCTTCTCTCTTGGTTCAGCCACAGCAAATTTACAGAAAGCCACAACTCCCAGGGATGAATGGTGCTCTGACAATATGAAATTGCAGATGCTTGGCCGGGCATTGTATCTGCAGTTTCGACAAAGCTCTGGAGGTCATGGTAGTTATTCTACTTAACAGGAATGTCCTTCCATATTAAAAGAGAAATGGAGAGTACAAAAACTTTTTTTTTCTTTAAAAATATTTTTTTATTCTATGTGAATTTGGACAGTTAGCATTTACCAACATGTATCTGTCTACTTTTCTCTTGTTTAAAAAAAGAAAGAAAAAACTTTAAAAAATGGGGTTATAGAAGGTCAGCAAAAGGGTGGGTTTGAGATGTTATGGTGGGTTAAGTGGGCATTTTGACAACATGGCTTCTCCTTTGGCATGTTTCATTGTGATGTTTAACGGACATCCTTGCAGTTTAAGATGACACTTTTAAAATAAAATTCTCTCCTAGTGATGACTTGAGGCATGCCTTTGAAACTGAGCATCATCTTTCCTTTCCAGTGAAACAAAAAGAAAATTTAAAAATAAAACAGGAACAAAATTACAATAGAGAATGTCAATTCCAAATAAGATCCTACCGTGTTCCATTGGGTCCCCTCCCTCCCCCACTGTGAGCTTTCCCATCTCCCCCTCTGGTTGCCTCAGTTCTTCGTGGTATGGGGTTAACATAACTCCCTTCGAAAAACTATTTCTGAAGCAGTGCCTTTGTGATACCATAACGCAGGAAGATTTGGTCTATGTCTATAATAATCCCTGAATTATTTCCAACTTGATATGTTTTTTACTTTCCACTCTTATATATAAAACTTAAGGGGTGTGATTGCTGCTTTTGGTAAAGTAGAGGAATTTTTCACCTTTTGTTGTTTTTCAGGAAACGTTACCTGGAGCCAAAATAAGTGGAGGTCTTTCTAACTTGTCCTTCTCCTTCCGAGGAATGGAAGCCATTCGAGAAGCAATGCATGGAGTTTTTCTTTACCATGCAATCAAGGTATAATAGAAGACCTTTTTGATCTATTTAAGCCAGCTTTTACTTGGGGCAATGGTTTGCTTACTTAGTCCAGCAGACTAACTCTGGTCTGCTCCCAGCTTCTGTGAATAAAGGTTTAATGGAACAGAGTCCATACCCACTCCCCTATGTATTTTATTATCTGTGAATGCTTTTATGTTGTAGTAGCAGAGTTGAATAGTTTCACAAAGACAGTCACCTAATAAATATTCTCTCTGGATCTTTACAGAAAATGTTTGCTGATCTCTGATTTAGGGTATCACTGGAAATCCTCATTTTTATTTATTTTTATTTCACTTAGTTTGGTATGGACATGGGGATAGTGAATGCTGGGAACCTCCCTGTATATGATGATATCCATAAGGAACTCCTTCAGCTCTGTGAAGACCTCATCTGGAATAAAGACCCAGAGGCCACTGAGAAGCTCTTACGTTACGCTCAGGTAAAAGGAAAAGATGGGTTTCCTATTCCTGAATATTTCACTCTATAGTATTTCATGTTGCAAATGTTATGATGCGTTTTGGCTTGAAAAACAGAAAAAATACGTGTAGGGTAAGGAAAAAATGTCAGGCTTTTCTGCCCTCCCGCCATCAGGATAGATGATGGATCCTTGCAGTCCTCAATGCATGCCTGATGGCGGGCACCTGGAATAGGGTGTGGCCATAGGTAGATGGGATTCACCTGAGCTAAGACTGTGCTTTTTAAGGGCGGCGTCACAGGCATGCCAGTAGAAGCCGAAAGAGAAGCTGAGAAGCAGCAGAATGAACAGAAGAGCAGAGAAGCAGAGAGAACGCCAGAGAGCCCAGATAGAGTGAGGATTTGCTGGGGGGTGGGAGGACTGCCAGCCTTCCGGCCCCCCAGCACTCCTGCCTGCCATATGCCTGGTGAACCCCAATAAAAGCCTGAAAACCCGCTGAGGGCTCTAGGACTCTGACTCCTCCTTTACCCGATCTGCTGGATCAGAAATCCTGCACTGTGCCCGTTCCTGCCCTTACAATATGTCATGACTTTTCCAGCAACCCATTTTTTTTTTTTTTTCTCTAGTTATTTATTTATTTTATTTTATTTTTTTTATTTTTTATTTTTTTTATTTTTTTTTTTTAATAATAAATTTTATTGTTATATTCCCCATACAATTGCAGCCCCCCCATTCTGACCCCAATCCCTCCCCTCCCGCCCCCACCCCCCTAAAAGTGTCTCTGGTTCATAGTTTTTTGTTGATTTTGATTTTCACTTTCTTATAGTTATTCAATTTCCTGGTCCCTTATTTAAGTTTTCTAGATTCCTGCTATGAGTGAGACCATCCGGTATTTTTCTTTTTCTTTTTGGCTTATTTCGCTGAGCATGATCCCTTCCAGCGCCATCCATGTTGCTGCAAATTGCATGTGTTTATCTTTTTGAATGCTGAGTAATATTCCATGGTATATATGGACCACATCTTCTTGATCCAGTCATCTATTTTTGGGCATTTGGGTTGTTTCCAAAGCTTAGCTATTGTAAACAGTGCTGCTTAAAACATAGGGTGCAGGTGTTCTTTGGAATTGATGTTTCTGTGTCCTTTGGGTAAATACCTAGGAGTGGAATTGCTGGATCCTATGGAAGCTCTATGTTTAGTAGGTCCAGAAATCTCCACACAGCTTTCCACAGTGGTTGGACCAGTTTGCACTCCCACCAACAGTGTAGAAGAGTTCCTTTTTCTCCACACCCTCGCCAGCATTTGTTGTTGCTAGTTTTTTTAATATGTGCCATTCTCACTGGTGTAAGATGGTATCTCATGGTAGTTTTGATTTGCATTTCCCTGATGGCAAGTGATGTTGAACATTTTTTCATATGCCTGTTGGCCATTTGCATTTCCTCTTCAGAGAAGTTTCTTTTTAGCTCTTCTGCCCATTTTTTGACTGGATTATTTTCTTTGTTGTTGTTGAGTCTCATCAGCTCTTTGCAGATTTTTGTGATCAGTCCTTTATCATTAGTGTTGGGTGCAAAAATGTTCTCCCAGTTGGTGGGGTTTCTCTTTGTTTTTGTTATTGTCTCTTTTGCTGTGCAGAAGCTCTTTAATTTGATGTAGTCCAGCTGTTTATCTTTGCCTTCACTATCACTGCTTTGGGTGATGTGTTTGTAAAGATGTCTTTGATGTGCAAATCACGTAGTGTTTCGTCTATATTTCCTTCTATATATTTTATGCTTTCAGGTCTTATGTCTAGTTCTTTAATCCATTTTGAGTTGATTTTTGTGTATGGTGTGAGGTAGTGGTCAAGCTTCATTCTTTTGCATGTAGCGACCCAGTTTTCCCAGCACCATTTATTGAACAAACTTTCTTTGCTCCATGCATAGTCTTTGCTCCTTTGTCAAAGATTAGTTGACCATAAATCTGTGGGTTTATTTCTGGATTTTCTATTCGATTCCATTGGTCTGTATGTCTGTTCTTGTTCCAATACCATGCAGTTTTGATGATTATGGCTTTGTAGTATAGTTTGAAGTCTGGGAGTGTAATGCCTCCATTCCCTTCTTTTTTTTTCAGGAGAGCTTTGGCTATTCGGGGTTTTTTGTGATTCCATATGAATTTCATCAATAATTGTTCTATTTCTTTGAAGAATGACATTGAAATTTTGATTGGAATAGCATTGAATCTGTATATTGCTTTTGGAAGGATGGCCATTTTAATAATGTTTATTCTTCCAATCCACGAGCAGGGGATGTCTCTCCATTTCTTTGTGTCTTCTTCTATTTCTTTTAACAGTGTTTTATAGTTTTCTTTGTATAGGTCCTTTACCTCTTTTCTTAGATTGATTCCCAATTAAATATTGATTTTTTTGTTTCAATAACAAAAGGGATGTTTTTTTTGATTTCTTCTTCTTCAGATTTATTGTTTGTGTATAGGAAGGCTACTGACTTTTGCGTGTTGATTTTGTATCCTGCCACTTTACTGAACTGATTGATGAGTTGAATTAGCTTTCTGTGGAGTTTTGGGGTTCTCTATGTATAATATCATATCGTCTGCAAATAGTGATAGTTTGACTTCTTCTTTTCCTATTTGGATTCCTTGGATGTCTTTCTCTTGTCTTATTGCCCTGGCTAGGACTTCCAGTATTATATTGAAAAGCAGTGGTGAGAGTGGACATCCTTGTCTTGTTCCAGATCTTAATGGAATTGCTTTCAGCTTTTCACCATTGAGAATGATACTGGCTGTTGGCTTGTCATAGATGGCCTTTATGATGTTGAGGTATGTTCCTTGTATCCCAAGAATTTCAAGGGCTTTTATCATGAATGGGTGTTGCTCTTTGTCGAAAGCTTTCTCAGCATCTATTGATATTATCATATGGTTTTTATATTTCTTTTTGTTGATGTGTTGGATAACGTTGATTGATTTTCGGATGTTAAACCATCCTTGTGCCCCTGGAATGAATCCTACTTGGTCGTGGTGAATTATCTTATGGATACATTGTTGGATTCTGATGGCTAAAATTTTATTGAGGATTTTTGCATCAGTGTTCATTAGGGAGATTGGCCTGTAGTTTTCCTTTTTTGTGTTGTCCTTGTTCGGTTTTGGTATTAGTGTAATGTTGGCTTCATAGAACGTGTTGGTATTGTCCCTTCCTTCTCAATTTTTGAAGAGTTTGTGAAGGATAGGCACTAATTCATCTCTGAATGTTTGATAGAATTCATTTGTAAATCCATCAGGTCCTGGGCTTTTGTTTTTGGGAAGGTTTTTAATTACCATTTCAATTTCGCTAATTGTAATTGGTCTGTTTAGGTGTTCTATTTCTTCTTTATCTAGCTTTGGGTGATTGTAGAGTTGTAGGAATTTGTCCATCTCCTCTAGATTGTTAAACTTGTTTCCATATAACTGTTCATAGTAGTTACTGATTATTCTTTTGATTTCTGCTGTGTCCGTTGTGATTTCTCCTCTTTCATTGATGATCCTGTTTATTTGTGCTTTCTCCCTTTTTTCCTTTGTGAGCCTGGCTAGGGTTTGTCTATTTTATTGATTTTTTCAAAGAACCAGCTCTTGGTTTCATTGATCTTTGGATTGTTTTTTTTAGTTTCAATTTCATTTATTTCTGCTTTGGTTTTTATTATTTCTTTTCTTCTACTGGTTTTGGGGTTTTTTTGTTGTTCTTTTTCTAGATCTTTGAGCTTCGAGATTAGGTTGTTTCTTTGAGTTCTTTCTTGTTTCTTGATGTGAGCTTCTATTGCTATATATTTTCCTCTTATTACTGCTTTTGCTGCATCCCATACATTTAGGATATTGGTGTCCTCCTTGTCGTTCAATTCAAAAAATTTTTTAATTTCCTCTTTGATCTCCTCATTAGTCCAGTGGTCTTCCAGTAGTGTGGTTTTTAATCTCCATGAGGTAGGAAAGTTCCTTGCCTTCTTTTTATGGTTTATTTCTAGTTTGATGCCTTCATGGTCAGAAAAGATGGTTGATATGATTTTAATCTTGGTGTATCTGTTGATGTTTGTCTTGTGCCCCAGTATGTGATCGATCCTGGAGAATGATCCGTGTGCGCTTGAGAAAAATGTGTACTCCGTTTTTTTGGGGTTTAGTGTTCTATAGATGTCTGTTAAGCCCAATTGCTCTAGGTCCTTATTTAGAGCTTTGGTTTCTTTACTTATTTTTTGTCTTGTTGATCTATCCATTGTTGATAGTGGTGTGTTGAAGTCTCCCACTACGTATGTGTTTTCTCTGATGTCTGTTTTCAGAGAGGACAACAGTTGTCTGATATATTTTGGTGCTCCTTCGTTTGGTGCGTATATGTTGAGTGTTATTTCTTCTTGAAATATTGTCCCCTTGATCATAATGTAGTGACCATTGGGGTCTCTTTTTATCTTTTTGAGTTTGAAATCTGTTTTATCTGATATAAGTATAGCTGTTCCTGCTTTCTTTTTTGGTCCATTTGCTTGTAGTATTGTTTTCCATCCTTTAACTTTGAGCCTATTTTTATCTTTTGTAGCTAAATGTGTTTCCTGTAGACAGCAAAAGGTTGGGTTTTGTTTCTTAATCCAGGCTGCAACTCTGTGTCTTTTTATTGAAGAGTTTAGTCCATTTACATTTAGAGTTAATATTGATATGTTAACATCTGTATTTGCCATTGTGTTTGTCTTTCCTTTGATTTTATTTATTTATTCTTTTAATAACTTTTTTTTTTTTTTTGGCCTTCTTTCATTGTTATTCGTCCCTCTGAGGTTCTGGCTTTAGGACTCCTTGTAGTATTTTTTGGAGTGGAGGTTTAGTTGCAATGAAATTCCGGAGTTTCTGTTTGTCTGGGAAGGTCCATATTCTTTCTTCAAAGAGGAAGGAGAGCTTTGCGGGATAGAGTATTCTTGGTTGGCATCTGTTTTCTTGGAGTCTGTTGACTATGTCCCTCCACTCTCTCCTTGCCCGTAGTGTTTCTTCGGAGAAGTCTGATGTCAGCCTGATTGGCTTTCCTTTGAATGTTA